CTCTCTAATCTCCGAAGTAGTTCTGTCACACCATGCAGTTTCTGCCTTTCTACACAAACCGCCGAGGTGTAGCGGCTATGCCACACAGCTGCGAATCCGATGGCTCTGAGTTCAAACCGCACGGTGCTGTTTTCAAACATGACCTTGGCTCCCAGGTGAACCCAGCCTTAAATGGGTACCAGGCAAAGTTCTGGGAAGTAAAGACAGCTGGCGTGATGTTAACCACACCACAGATCAAGGGTCTATAAAATACAAGTCTACCTTCACATGGCTGATGCGCCATGACGTTTAAAGGGACTTTTACTTTACTTGTCTACACAACCATTGGTTAACGACTATTTGCAGTTTATTAGTAACTGTTTTAGTACCGGTTTCTTTAAACGGCTGTTGTTCTTTTGAAGTCATATTTCTCGGCCTAAATAAAACAAGCTTGTTTTCTCTCTCTCTCTCTCTCTCTCTCTCTCTCTCTCTCTCTCTCTCTCTCTCTCTCTCTCTCTCTCTCTCTCTCTGTGTGTGTGTGTGTGTGTGTGTGTGTGTGTGTGTGTGTGAAACGCATCCAGCGACTAACACACTTAACTGGTGATAAATTCAGTGTGTCAGGTACAGTCATATGTAAATCATTACACGTTGACGGCCTCTCATTCATGCCGCAGTTCTGATCTGATTAACAGACACACACACTGTGGGGTCATAAATCTACGTTCGGTTGGCCAACTTTAGGAGCCCGAGTAAAACTAATTTGGCCCACTTAGTTATACAACTGCGCGACATAATCCACATGAAATGAATTCGATACGTGCGGGCAGAGAAAACATGTGTATGTGTGTGTGTGTGTGTATGAGGGGCGCAGGCGACTTAACCCTAGTTTAACTGCGCAATAATAATAAAAATGCAACATGCATTATAATTTTTTTGCGCTGTTAAACAAGACGTAAACTATTTTGAGACTCACACGCCTAGAATCTGGGGAAAGGGGCCGAGGCCTAGGGCACCTCAAAATAATAACAATGATTACTATTATGTGAATGACGGCGAATGCAAAAATAATATGTTTAACATAAAAGGGCACGTATAAACAAATATGTAATAATAATGCACTGCATGGAATATTCTTCATAGTCATAAAGAAAAAATAGGAACTACGACTTACAGGCACCCACTGTCGCTGGTATTTACTCCCCAGGACGTCCCTAGTCACACGGAATCATCACAGTCGTCCAGCTCAGCTCAGAGAGCAGCTAGATCTTCCAGCCACGCCCCAGCTGACCTTAAGGGGACTGTATCGTTGCAGCCCATGAGGCAGTCCTCCAGAACTGTGGCAACCCGCAATACGGTTGGCCTACAGAGAGTTTACTTAGAGGGGTTGGACTACATGAGGACACATGTCTCAAATGTGGAGAAAGGAGTTGACATTATCAATCGACAGTTCCATAAGTGAGTTTTTTTGTTTTGTTTCTGTTTGCAATAATGTCTCATGGGTCCGCATTATGGAAGCAAAAAATAGCCACACTGACACGTACACCGCGTCTGGTAAAAAGCGACTGAGAATTGCCGTGAGTTTGGCTACTTCGTTCCCACAAAACTGGCTGCAAAGCCAACCAATCAGGGACAAGTCTACCAAGTACTGTACATGGCGTTGGCTTGTTGCTGTCCTTTATTCCGTGATCCTCATGGTATTATTTCCTATCGTCCTTTTCAGGATGAAATTTTTTATTTGAAGCTCCACCCTGGCTTTTGCCGGGGGCCGCAATATAGGCAGGCCATAAATATGGCCAAATGTCTGAACGCGGTTTCTGGGACCTCTCCAAGGCGATCCTCATCCACATGGTGGCACCTTGTGTCATCGGGTGTTTATCGCTTGTGTGATGTCCTGGTGGAGTAGAAAGTCAGTCAGTCCTTTATTCCGTTAGGATATTCCCCACGGAAGAAGAAGAAGAAGAAGAAGAAGAAGAAGAAGAAGAAGAAGAAGAAGAAGAAGAAGAAGAAGAAGAAGAAGAAGAAGAAGAAGAAGAAAAAGAAGAAGAAGAAGTTAGCCTGTTTTCTCCGTTTCTTTAGTTGATTTAGCCCAAATTTGGTTTCTGTGGAGTAATTTTACTATATTGATTTTGCATATTTTACAGATATCAATAGTGACAATTATTATAGACAAGTAACCAGTCGTCACTCTTTCAAGAAGAAGATGATGACAGAAGATAATGATAAAGAGGACAAAGATGAAAATAACATTTATGACAATAAAGAAGAAGAAAGGTCATTAGCAGACAACAAGATCGCGTACAGAAACTCGATGTTAATTGATTGTAAAACTGTATTGCCATCCTGCCAGGGCTAACACCAGTTTCCAGGAGGATTGGCTGCCGTATTTAAGAGAATGTAACGACCATCTACTGCAAGCAAATACCAGCCTTCTGAGGTCAGGGGTCACCTTACAGGTCAGTGGCTGTCTCTGGATGTATCTGTGACCTTTGTGTGTGCCTGTTTGGCCGACATCTTTGTTTGTTGGCATGTCATGTGACTACCTAGGAATAAGGTCACTTTTCATTAAGGTCAAGAATGAATGATACGATAACGGTTGACCTGGTCACAATGAAAGGATAACTATTGACCTGGTCACAATGAAACGATAACTATTGACCTGGTCACAATGAAACGATAACTATTGACCTGGTCACAATGAAACGATAACTATTGACCTGGTCACAATGAAACGATAACTATTAACCTGGTCACAATTATACGATAACTATTGACCTGGTCACAATGATACGATAACTATTAACCTGGTCACAATGATACGATAACTATTGACCTGGTCACAATGATACGATAACTTTAAATCTGGTCACAATGATACGATAACTATTGACCTGGTCACAATGAAACGATAACTATTGACCTGGTTACAATGAAACGATAACTATTGACCTGGTCACAATGAAACGATAACTATTGACCTGGTCACAATAAAACGATAACTATTGACCTGGTCACAATGAAACGATAACTATTGACCTGGTCACAATGATACTATAATCGTTGACCTGGTCACAATGATACGATAACTATTGACCTGGTCACAATGAAACGATACCTATTGACCTGGTCACAATGAAACGATAACTATTGACCTGGTCACAATGAAAAGATAACCATTGACCTGGTCACAATGAAACGATAACTATTGACCTGGTCACAATGATACTATAATCGTTGACCTGGTCACAATGATACGATAACTATTGACCTGGTCACAATGAAACGATAACTATTGACCTTGTCACATGAACCACTTACCTTAAGGGCTATTTTAACGCCAAAGGCACAACAGGCATGTGATCTGTTAGTTAGTTGCATCTCCTTTGCACGACGTTGCCGGATAAACGCCAACACTTTTGGGCTGTTAATGGTTTCACAAGGCAATTTAACGTTCAGTAGTTTGCCATTGCTTACTGGACGGCTGGTTATCGACACCACCGTCGAAGCCAAGACACGGCGGTTTGCTGCTAAAAACCCCGCAGCTGGGATCGAACCTGACAGGTTTGATCTGTGAAACCCGTGATATTGAAGTCTTCACTCGACACCTGAAATGTGTTTGCAACGCTTTAGCCACAGACGCTAACTATATCATTCTGTTCAAGAATCATACGTGTTTAAATCAACGGTCACTTAAAAAAAGGTAGATGGGAGGAGGGGGAAAAAAAAGGGGGGGGGGGGGGGGGGGACTGATGTGTTGTCAACATCACGCCGACTATTTTTTCTTCTCATTACATATCCATGTAGCCAAGTGTTTAAAAAAAAAAAAAAAAGACAATAATTCCGACACAATGCAGATTCGAATTGAAGAACTTTTGACCAGCAGAAAAGCGCCTGGTGACTGCGGCACCTAGAATCATCATTCGTCATCACCATTGTCCGGTTGTGTCATCATATATCACATAGGGCTAGCAGTCTATTCCCCTACTCCGCTCTATTCTGTGCAATAATTTCGGCTGAATCTAGTCGAATCCAGGGTGAATCCAAACTAAATGTAATCTAATTCAGCAGTTTTGGCCTCTCTCATCACCGTTCGTTTTAGGGTTTCTTTTGGATGTCCTGGTTTGCCCAGCCGTTTAATTCTTATTGTAGCAATTGTTTGGTGACTCATTAATGATCATTGCTTGCTTCTAAAGTCTGCGTCATTTGTGAAATATTTAATAATAATAATTATGTGACTGCTGTTGCTGAAACTACCGTCCGTCTGGAACATTAGGAAACATTAACGTTTTTTATTCGATGAAGACGTACTGACTTCGTTTATAACTATATCAAACGTCTGAAGAGGGTATCTGTAAATTTTTTATTTTTATTTTGGCTTCCAAAATGTGGTTCATCGGGTTTCTGTGGTGTCAAACCTCCAGGAAGCAGTCCCAAGGCTAATCTACCTCAATGTACTGGACTGCAGACCTCTTGACAATGGCATCAAAAGCCGACCATCCCGGAATGAATGTCAAACTGTGTTAAGAGAACTAAAGAGTCAACAAATCTGGCTGCTGAGTTGCAGTGTTCTAGAACTGACTTTGCTTCTATGTATAATTTGACTAATAATCTGTCTCCCCTCCCTATTTCTCTTCCACGTATTCCCCCTCTCTTTCTCCACCCCTCTCCACCCTGGCTTTCTCTTTCTTTTTGTGCGTTTTATATTTCTAATCTGTTCTGTATTCCTTTTGTTTTCAGTCACTGAACCAATTTGCGAGCCCGACTCGTAATTCCAAAGTACCGCGATCGAAACCCACTGCTGGCTCAGTGGATTTTTATCATAGTATGGGGCGTCGCAGGTCGACCCAGCTTAAAATGCTTATCAGGATGTATGTCCTGGGGAAGTGAAGACTGCCTGTGTAATGCTGACTACATTACCCAGCCTGTGCCGATTGGTCTGTAAAAATATGGGACGCTCTTCCAATATGCCCGATGCGCCTAAGGCGTGAAAAGGGATCTTTATTTCTTTTACTTTTACTGAACCAATGAAATCTGTTTGCCAGGTAATTGACACTGAAGCCAAACTAGTGGCCCTGATCAACAACCTGAGAGAGGACACACAGACAGACATGCTTCTGGTCGAGTTTTTGACACGGTTCTGGCAGGAGATCAAGGCGGCCACACAAGATCTGCAAGTAAGTGTTCTCTTGACAAGATGAGTTGTTGTCGGCCATGTTTTCTTCCACGTCTATTTGTCTGTTTGTTCTATTTCTGGCTAATTTGGTCGGTACGACCATAGACGGGACTAATGTAGAGTTTCTTTGATGTTTATTTTTCAATTTTTTTTGGTGTGTATTTTTTTTCTCTATGTTTCTCTTTTTGTGTACTTATATGTCTGGTATAATATGCGTCGCAAAGTATTCCCTCAAACTAGCCATCCATTTGATTTGTTGATTTTGAATGTAATTTAGAATTGGTTCCCTGCCGACTTTTTCTCTTGTAATCTCGCTCCTAATTTTATTTCTGTATCCCCCTAGCAATCCTTCTCAGATATAATTCTATTTCTTTATTATCCTACCCCCAGATGAAGTCAAAGTCCAACATTTTAGAGGGTGGTAAGACTGGGTTTCCCGGCTTTCTGATGCTTTTAACGACCCTAAAACATCTAGAACTGGCCCTAACTCCAACCCAGCCACGTCCCACGAGAGAGTGCAGCCTAGGTCCCACGACTCATGCAGCCTATCTACCACCCCCTGAAATATTAGACTGTCCCGTGACCTGTGGATTACCCGTGTTTGGGGTAGGATATTAATATAGAACCCAATACAGTCAGTCACAAGGATGTAAAGTTATATTTGAGAAACTATTCATGAATTTGCAAGCGCACTATAAAAATTCTCACTCGGAGGTTTTCGATCGAATCCACAACGAGGCGAACTTGTAACTTTCTAAAACTTGTACCAAAAAATATTATCGGAAGTAAAGGCTACCAGAGGTGATGTTTGCCATTTCACACATTGCGAGCCGATTTGTCTATGAAAAATAGGTTTAGCACCACAAATCCGGAGAGCATCGGTAGCCTAGGGCTAGATCCTCGCCTGCTAGCTCGACAGTCTGGAGTTCAAACCCACATTGAGTCTGATTTTTTTTTAGTGGCCTTTCCTGCTAGGTCGACACAGCCTAAAACGGGTACCAGGTATTGTCATGGGAAGTAAAGGCTACCGGCGTAATTTTGATCACAACACACACACTGAGCCAATTAGTCAATAAATATATGAGTCTACAGTCAGTGATATGCCCGACGATCCACTCGTGTAAACAGTATCTTTTACTTACTAAAAAAAAAAAAAAACTACAACTGATGTCTAATGCGTTGTTGTTGTTGTTGTTGTTGTTGTTATCGATCCAGCGGCGCTTGAGCTTTCGCCCTTTGGCCCAATGCCATGTAGTGGAATTTGCTTGTTTTCACAAGGTGTTCTTTTCCTCCGTACAAGGTGTTCCACTTGTCTGGTCTCGGAGGGAGTAGCATTCTTCTAGTCTCGTTGCGTTTTGGGCACTCAAAGAGATGATGTTCAACAGTTTCGGGGTAGTTACATAGCTGGCACTCTGGGAAGTGGTGTGGCTGTATTCTGTTTAGATGTCCACTGAGTGGAGTATGTTGTGTTCCAAGTCTGAAGATGGTGGCCTGGTCCCTTCTTGTTAGATGGTTAATGCTGTCATTAGGATCAGGGTCAGCCATGTGTCTATAAACCTCTCTTCCAGTGTCTCCCATGGCCCATCTGTTCAACCAACTCTCTTTGTTTATAGCTTTTATAAGTGTTTTTACTGTCTGTAGGGTTGTCGCTGTACGCGCCATGCACTCAGCTCAGTAGCTGGGCGTAAAAAAATATATCATTTCAGTCAATGGAGGAAAATACGACTGCCGCCTGTCTGTCAGAAGCAAAAAATGGCTACGACTAAAAACAATGTCCGTGCCTATTGTCTATTTTGACCGGTATATTCTTTGCATTTTTGCCAGGTACTGCTGGACAAATTTGGCTGTACAGTTTTACATCGTATCAGCAGCAACTACACCCACGGCCAGATATTCCAGCTGCAAGTTCCTCTCTGCCAAACGTACACTTCAGACATTGAACACTTTTCCAAAGATCTAGAAAAGCAACTCACCAACGCGCAACTGCTGTTGAAAAATTATGGGTATTCCGTGAACAGTGACATGATAGACAGAAGTAGCTTCAAGGATCGTCTGATGGTTTGTTGTGATCTCAAAGCTTTTCCGATTTTAGGATTTGTTAGCGACATTGCCAGCAAGATAACCCGGATGTGTGACACTGCCAGGCAATGGCTGGCCCGTGACGAACAGTTCATGCATGAAATTAATGAATTTATCAGAGAAATAAGAACCGCAGCTAGAAAGAGAGAAGAGATATTTCATCTGAAGAAAACGGAACAGAAGAATGTGGAAAGAAATGCCAAAGTTGCACATAACATTATGTTGAGTAACCGACAGAAGTTGCGCTTGATTGACGCGGAGTTGCAGGAGTTGGAGCGGAGGTTGGGCATGTGTAGGGAGGAGCAGCAGGCTCGGATGGTAGAGATTCATCAGAAGGAGAGCATGATGGACTTCCTCCGGGTCACCTTGCAGCAGACGAAGAAGAACTGCCGCCTACAGACCAAACGCGCCAAGCTGCACAAGCAGGTTTGTTAGCTCATGTGTCTGTCCGTCTTTCTGTTTTAATTTTCTCTCTGTTTCTCTATCTTTCGTTCAACTTTCTCTCTCTCCAGTTGAATTCTTTTTACTTTATTATATATATATATATATATATATATATATATATATATATATATATATATATATATATATATATATATATATTAGCCCTTTCTTTAAAGGCGGAGTGGACATTCAAATTCGACCAGTTTATCTCCGATGCCTGAACATTGTCGGATTTCGTTTGATTTAGTCGACCAATCAACATCATGGCACACTGGTGCAACCCACAAGTGCTCCATTCTACTTCTAACTCAAGCCTAAATTTGAAGAATCTAAGGACAGTGCACGAACTCCGTGGCACCTGCGAGGATCCTGAAATAATTTTGGTAGATTTTTAGCTCCAAATTTTGCCCGGGCCACGCCGTAGGTCTATTCTTTTTCGATTTCCAGCCGCCAAGGAATTTTTAACAATACACACAGGCGTCTGATCTTACTACCCAGAGTCCAGGGGAAATTACTAGAAGTCCAGGGCAGCGGTTCTTAAACAAGAAATTAACTATTTTCGACAGTGGCGAGGGAAGACAACTTACATTTTAACTTTTAAGTATCTACATACCTTTTAAAATAATTTCACAATTGTTAGCTGACTTGTCTTGATTTTTACCGCGGCACCTCTGGCATACGCTCACGGCACACCAGGGTGCATCAGCACCCAGTTTGAGAACCACTGCTTTAACGCATGGTTTGCCTGACCCAGTGACGTCAGCAGCATGGCTTAAACCGGTCGTGCTCTAGAACACTCAGACCCCCCCCCCCCCCGTTTGTTGGATTTATGTCCACTCCTGACCCTCACTGGTCCCTCGAGCTGATACTGGCAAAGGCAGGTAACTCGATCCATTTGGCTGCACGGACAAACCCCTTAGAAGTTGCCTGATCTTTGTTAGTTCATCCTGTGTGTTGGCATGTGTGTGCAGGTCAAGGAGCTAGGAGATTACGTCCGAGTGATGGAAGCCGACCTGGAGCTGGTTCAGGATCAAATCCTCGCCAAGTCCCACGAAAAAATTATACTCACCGAGAAGATACACACATCGGAGAAATCTTACGGCGTACTCAAAACAGACCTGGACAAGTTTTCTGAGAACCTGGAGGACATGGAGGCTGAGGTGGGTGGTCTGTGATGTGAGTGTAAGAATTTATCATCATCATCCTCATCATCACCATCATCGTTGTCAGTCATTCTCGTCATCATCATCATGAACTTCGTCATCATCATCCCCGTTTTTATCATGCTTGTCATCGTTATCACAATTTTCGTTATCATCATCATCATCATCCTCGTCAATATCATCATAATCTTCGTCATCATCATTCTCATCATATTTCTCCTTCTCATCATCATTCTCATCATCTTCCTCCCCCTCATCATTATTCTCATCATCTTCTTCCTCCTCATCACCATTCTGATCATCTTCATCCTCCTCATCACCATTCTCATCATCTTCCTCTCCCTCATCATCATTCTCATCATCTTCCTCTCCCTCATCATCATTCTCATCATCTTCCTCCTCCTCATCATCATTCTCATCCTTCTCCCCCCCCCCCTCATCATCATTCTCATCATCCTCGTCGTCATCCTCCCCAGGATCGTATTGTTTCATTATACACAACACCGAGCTGGCCGTCCATTCCGCTCTACCCTGTGCCGTTGTGTCCATATCATACATGGAATCCATATCCAGTTGCTTTATCTTCTCTATGTCAACTTTTGTTATTTCTGATTACGTTGAAATATTCGGGGTGATTTGCAGTGTGTGTATGTGTGTGTGCCTGTGCTCGCGAGCGTGTGTGTGTGTGTGTGTGTGTGTGTGGGGGGGGGGGGGGAGTCAAGGAGTTGAGCTGAGAACGCAGTTTCGCAATCCAGACATAACAATGTTTAAAGTCTGCTGCAGGCGAATTGGTCACATTGACTCGAACCCAACGGGTGTATTGTACTGTTCTTCAAGCAACGACAACCGACTGAACGTAAAGCTGCCTTTCAGAAATTTGTAAGGGTTAATAAAGTTTGGTTTGGTTGTGGACGTCCTCAAGAGGACATCTTAGTCGATCGATGGACACCTGTGTCCTCTCTGGGTTTCTATCTAAAGGTTTGCCATTCCATATTCCATCCGGATATTTGGAAACTTGTCTAAATGTCAGATTTAGGATACCCTGTTCAACCTTCACAGAAGTTATAATTAGGGCACCAGCCCCGTGTCACCTGCAGTCCTATGCGGGTAAGGACCGAGCGATCGGGCAACTTACTGTTCATTTTAATGGGTATTCCCATACACTTTGTCAGATAATAGCACGCATGAGTGGCTTTTGATTGGAGCCTCTTACTGTGGCGTACCCTCACAGGCTGGGTAAACACGTCGGCAGTTTGACTGTATATTCTCTTCACAGTGGTTTCAAAGGAAAATGTACAAGAGATAAGGTGGTTCGGCCATCTCACGAGAAAGCTATGGCACCAACTGCCACACAGGACCACGCTGAAAACAAAATAGTTTACACAGAATAAAGGAAACTTCACGCAGATGATGGAAAGACAGCATCAAGAACCGCAGTAACGATATCAGTGTTCAGTGTTGAGCTAAGACTTGATATCAGTGCACTCGAAATAGTCCCGTATGCACTGCGTCCTAATCTTCAGCAGCCAGCGAAGAATTCTAATTCCTAAGGTGCCAGTAACAGTTTGATTATATGTCCGCCTTGCTTTTTCTCTGAGTGTAGAATTTCCACCCCCCCCCCCTCCCCCGGTCACTTCTAGCTGTACCATTCTCTCCCAACCATAATGGTCTTTTGCGTCTCCGCACAATGTTCTTTTCAAAGGGTTACAAATTGGGCACGCGGACCTGTAGTACATTCGGCCCTTCCAAACAGATCTTTCACACAGCAATAATATTTTATGAGTAAATCATGTTATGTTAGTTCTAGTCTGTCGTGCATTAATTCAGCGCCCATTGGTGCAGAACCAGTCAGTCTGTTTAAAAATGTATTCCCCATCGCGTCTGCTAATTCTGGAGAAGATATCCAAAGAACCAGGACATCTGATGCGATGCTTGCCACTCTGTAAGGAGCATGCCTGTCTTCCCCTTTGTTAACATGCTTTGTAAATCTGGCCAGTAACAAGACATGACTATAGTGAAGAAATGACAATGAGCTTATGCAACGCATTAAACAAAAATAACACAAGATATCTTTTCATCCTTCCTCACAAACACACACATACACACACCTCATACACCCAGACACACACACATACACACACACTCGATGGGGTAACTGGAGGTAGCAGAGAAGAATATTTCCATGAAATTTTCCCTATGTGTAGACATCTCTAGATAGTACATGTCTGTCTACTTACATTGATATATTTCAGGTGAGTGACCTTTCTGGTCAGCTTCTGCAGCTGGAGATTGTCCACACCATTCGGACTTCCCCGGAAATCTTGGACAATCTGACTGACCGTCCAACTTCAGTGAAACTGTCTAAGTCTCTTAAAGAAAGAATTAAACAGAAACATCGCAAATATTTAACGCTGAATTAATACATTTATACCCTCGAAGAAAAAAGAGTACTTAGTTTGTATTAAAGAAATTAGACCAATCTGTGAAAAAAGCGGCGTTTATAGAAGATAGATACTATTGTGAATAGAGCGGCGATTAAATGAAGACAGACACAATTGTGAACAAAGCCGCGTTTATATGATGACAACGAGGTACAGGAGAATCGGCTGGCCGAACGGTTAAGAGCTCTCAAGCGGGAGACCCAGGTTCGAATCATCCATAAGGTCGTGGATTTTTTCCTGTCGGGGGCAAAACTAAAACTCCTGCACAGTCCGTGGCGACAGCCCTAGCCATGCGGCCATATGGATCTTTAAATGTGATTTAGTTTTTTTTCTAGTAACTTATCACATCACGCCGGCTTAGAGATTTGATAGGGAACTTCCCAGACAGTCCCATAGTATTGGAGAGGGGGGGGGGGGGGGGAGGGTTAGGCTTAAAAGTTATCGCTATTCATTAAACCCTAGCCCTAACCGCCCCTCCCCTATAGTATGGTATGGTCTGGGGATTTCTCTACCGAATCTCAAAGCCGGCGTGTTGTGGTGAGTTATTAGAAAAGAACCTGTGATGTAATTGTTATAGTATATGAAGTATGTGGGCTCTGAGTCTTGTAAAACTTGAAAGTTGATTAACAATGCCAAGTTTGATTATAAACTAAACACCCCAATTCTTATATAGTAAATAATAATTCTTAATAAAGATCTTACATTATGTTCTAACTTGCATTTATTTCATTTGCATGATGCAATGCTTCTGTTCTAAAAAAGAAGATGGTTAAAAAAAAAAAAAAAAAAAGAATGTTTTGAATTAAAATGTACGTTCAGAAAAGAAACATTCCCCCTCTTGTTCATATTTTCATAATTATAATAAAATAAAGATAGCATGATGCCACAACCAGGCCTCATGTTTTCAGAAAGAATCTTCTCGAGTATTTCTCTTGCAATTTCCTAGAGAGCGATGATTGATGTACAGTGCTGGACATACAGTTGCCAAAAGGCCACCAGACAAATATGACTACAAAGAGTTTATCTTCATTGAGGGTCTACGCTTCCACTTCTTCATCGTCCCAAGCACCTTGAGGTTCATTGCTGCAGATATCACCCACCTCCATTCATCTCTTCTCTCTGGTTGGACTTCTCTTTCCAGTTGGTGACACCAAGTCTTTGTAGGTCTGTCTGGACATGATCTCTATTCTGGTCTGTCTCGTGGTCTACGACCAATAAGCTCCCTTGTGTAAACAGTTGTTACCTCTGTCATCTGACATTCTCTCAATATGTCCAAGCCATTTCAGCTTACTGGTCCTCATAATGCCAGGGGTCAGTGGTGATTTAATCAGAATATGAATGTCGGTGTTGCTTCTCGCTCTCCATTCACAGCTAATATCTATGTATATACTGTGATCTGAACATCAGAAGTGTTCAGCGAACAAGTAGAAGCCGACGTGTTAGTGATAAAGTAATGGTCTTAGTATTGGTTAGCTAGCTGTGTATCCTTTACAGGACATTGCAGAACCAACCGCAGCATTTATTGGCTGTTGTGGTTTTTCTAGACAAATTTACGTCCAGTAGTTTGCCTTTGATTTGTGGACGGTCGGATTCTCGATACCACGGTCGAAACCGACGCAAGGCACAAGGCCTTCAGCTGGGATGGAAACCGGCAACCCGGCATTACGAACCGTTCGCTACGCAAAAGGTAGTTGTAAGAGTAGTACGCGTGCTGGTAATATTATTAATAAAAAGAAGAAATAGGAGGGAAAGCCGGGAAAGCCGGGAAGAAGAAGAAGAAGAAGAAGAAGAAGAAGAAGAAGAACAACAACAACAGCAACAACAAGAACAATAAAAAGAGGCAGGAGAAAGATACAACGGCAACGCCAACGAAAAAAAAAAAAAACACAAGCAAGAAGCAGTAGCCAGCAAAGCAGAAGGGAAAGCTTGATAGGCGTCATTGTGGCAGAGCTCATGTTCTGATCTTGGCTGATTACAATGATCTGAGTGAGGTCTTGACCAGTCGGGTAGTCGCCCCTGAAGCATTAATGCCGCTGCAACGCTTCCTCAAAGAGATAAAAGATGTCATCTCACAGCAACGCCTTTCATCATCAGCGACCAGGTCGCCCATCGGCTCGTCGGTGGACGACTTCGTCGCCGGTCGAGATCAGTATTTGGGCCTGTCTCCTTTGATGGCATCAACACCACTTGTGTCCTTTTTAGGGCTCTTGGTAGCGTGCTATGCTAAGCCATTTTATATGGCGCACATAGCCTTGCCACTATTATAGCCTAAAGCTTCACCTTCGGGGATGCTGGTTGAACGTGACGATTTTTTAGGGTGCTTTGTTTGTTGGAGCAAAACATCGGATCGGATCGGCAAGGCCTTTCCGGAACGCCAAGATAGAATAGCTCGGGTGACACGAAGCAAATACAATTGTAGGAATCGGGTTAAACACTGAACAAGAACTCCCCGTGTGAGTGCCGGGGGCAAGTGTAGAAAAAAAAAAAAAAAAAGACGAGGTGGGGGTGGGGGGACAGAGCAGATGCACCTCCCCCCCCAAACAAGCAAATAGTAAGAGCAGAATAATTAGGGGTTTGTTCGAAGTTGGAGTGCATCTGCCTGGCAGGCGACGAACCAACAGTCTGATCTGTTAAACAGACATGGGCATAACATTCAACTTCTGGAACCAGATTAATCAGAAGTGGACGAACAACCGGATCTTTCCAACAGTGGAGGTGAAGAAAAATAAGAAAAAGAACAAGAACAGAAGGGAACCCAAATGTGACACTAAACAAGACAAGCCGAAGTTAAAAAATGTGGGTTAAATACAAAACACAAGCGTAATGTCTAAAAATGGGTTAAACAACATAAATTGTGGGTTTAACACTCAACAGAATGAAGCACGAGACACCAGCTTGTATTATTGAAAAAACATGGTACCGAAGTCATCTCTTTTTCTTGTCACTTTATAAGTCTACATCATGGGCAGAAGTCTGTATGCATATATAGTGTTAGAGGGAGCACACCAGCGCGCACGCACGCACACACACACACACGTCTTCGAGGTCAAAGTAGATGACAGGGTCAATCCCTGGCAAACACACTATAACTTTGGATTTCTATATGGTCTAGTTTATCATTCTGTCAAATTCTTTGTGTTTGGTTGTTTATTACAAGTAATATTTCTACTGCCTTAACCACGATGGAAATGAAATGTTTACATACTATGCTAGGTGTAAAGAAGAAACGTCAACTTAGGAACGATGACATCAGCAGGAGAGTCGGCACAGAACCAATACTGAACTTTATAGGTAGACAACAAATCAAATGGTTTGGCCATGTAACAAGATTGGCATCAGACAGGGCACCACAGAGAGCAATGTTATACAGACACAACGGTAACAGAACCGAAGGTCGACCATGCAGAAGAGGGACCACAGAAATATCAAACACTGAAAAGTACTTTATACGAAGCGAACAGAAGGACCTGTCCCAGAGATCTCTTCCTGCCCTGACGCCGCGAGGTATTCTAGGGGTAGAGACAAGAAGAAGAATAAGTACAACACAATAGAACCGGCCAATCAAATCTGTCACTGAAATGTTCCTTGTATTCTTGACACAGCATTACTGTTCAGTGTGTTTGTAACTTTTGTTGTGTTTGTTATTCAACATATGCTGAGTTAATATAAATGTATTTGTGGTGCCATTTCAGTGGTTTGAAACAATTCTGTCCACATTTCATAGTTGTGGATTCCAGGTGTACGATAGATGGGTTAATGAAACACCTTTGGAAATGCGGGGGGGGGGGGGGGGGGGGGGGGGGGGGGGGGGGGGGGGGGGGGGGGGGGGGAGGGGGGGGGGGGGTGGTTGGTCACGCATCTTAGTACACTAATTTCTGCAGCGAGGCTCTGTCGTTGTTTGGAGGTGACAGGTACGATTTCCGACACAATAACTATCCATTTTGATTGTTAAGTTGTTTAATGTTTAATTAAGAATTGACATCACAGCCCTCGGGTCATTCCCAAAAACGCTTTATCCCCATCTTCAGCAGCAAGGACAGAGTTCTAATTCAGATGTTACCATAACAGTCTGGTTGTATATGATTTGTTGTCTAGAGGTCATTCTATCTTTCTACTTCTTTCCATGAGTGCCGATCAATACAGGTTTGTTTATTATATATGTATATATTATTTCTGCGGCCTCAGAGGTTCCAAAACTGTTGTTTCCATCTATAAAACTATAAGTCTAACATGATATACCCCATTCCCCAGTAGCAAGAAAATCGTCCTGTATGTTTTCCATTCATACTTTAAGCGGGAAACCCCCCCCCCTCCCCCACAAAGGCTTCTCAATAAGTTGTCACATCAACTAGAACATGTAAATTCAGTAAAAAATCCAAACAATTATTATATGCACACATGTGTTCTTTACACACATGCACAACTCACACATATCTAATATTAAAACACAAATAATCTTGACACATATGCAGTGTGTAGGTGCATGTAACTATTATAGATAATCATCATCATTATGTGCCCTGCCAACCGGCGTAGGCGCTCACGCCTCTCCACAGATCACGACCCCTGGTTGTCTGGAAGAGCTCTGTTGACGATATCCCTCCATGCCATCGTTTCAGCCCATCCAGCATCATCTCTCTTGGTCAGCCCCTACTCATTTTCCCACTGATCTTTCCAGTTGTCACTTTCCACTGCCTCTCTGCTCATTACGTGGCCAAAGAACAGTGTTTATCTCCTTCCTTCTTATTGTTGTATATAAAGATCTACGTTCATTAACTTCTTTTAAACAATCAAACTGTTACAGGTATAGTTACATAATGTTTACGCTCATTTAAATTATATACACTTGTAGTTGTAGCATTCTCAACCTTGAGTTGTTTATCCCGCACCCAATCTTGAGGGGACAAACTGCAGTGCACCACATGTATAACCTTAACTCACATAACCTTTACACTCTTGTTACCTGTACAAGTCACATGCACAATTCCTGTAATATTTACATATGTGTAACATTTACGCAATGTAACCTTTACATTGCAAAACCTTTACACCCGTGTAACTATACATAGCAAGTTCAACTCATGTAATCTTTACATACATATATATTGAACAACTCAGGTAATCTTGACATACATATAACATTTAGACACATGTAACTGTTGTACGCACACAGAGCCTTTAAATACTCCTTCCATTTTCACTCATATAAACAATGTATGCACGTAATATTTGCACACAGGCAAAATTTACAAGTATGTACAGCGTGCTCACATACACACCAAACATATGTACAGCGTGTGCACTTAAACACTTTATGAACACTAAAAAGTACCCACATGTCTGAACCTACAATGCTTGCACAAACATACATTTTACACAATCTTGCGCACTTCTGAACATATGCACACATTTCCTTTATGCATGAGTAAACATTATTGAACATATGAATGTGTGCACATGTAATAATAGTGCATATTTTAGGACTGTAGCAAACAAATATGTGCGTGCACAGACTTCCAGGTTCTGAACCAATAGCAGATTGCTCCAGTACATTCTGGACTAGGCTTTGACCTCTGAACCAAACCACCATTGAGGGATGGTGGCTGACCTGTGACCTAATTTGTGGCAATGACTGTTTTTGCTCATCTTTTTTTTTGTACGCCCTCTTTTTAATTTTGTTTCTTTCAATCTCCTTTCCTCGCCATCTCGATGCTGCTATCAATATTTCATCCTCTTTTTATATCTCTCTTATTCTTCATGAAATTGTCTTTTTTTTTATTTTCCTTTGTCTTTGTCTTTTTCTTATTCCTTTTTTCCTTCATCAACGCCATTGTCTTCCTTTTTATTCGTCTTTTTTATCTGCCGTCTTCTCTTCTGTTTTCTATATCTCCCACCCAGCTGCTATTGCTACTCTCTCCATTTGGTCATGTTTGATTTCTTTGTGTTTTTTCTCTCCCTTCTCTATTGTGCTGAATGAAGTTATTGTAACAGTTCTTGCCATTTCAACTGTTGTGCTGAAATCATTTTGTTATAGAAATCTGCTCAGTTTTGCAACTCGCTCAGTTCGATTGTTGTACGGAGTGCCAGAGTGTTAAGTTGATCGCCCGCATCCGTTCTGGAAAACGTTGAAGAAACCAAACAGAGGCAGGGATAGTCAGCTGGCGTGGACGCATCCTTTGACCATCAGGTTCCCACCTTCGTAGTCATACAATACCGGCCAGATGAAGTAGTTGATTTTCTTTGCCTTTGATTGGTCACATGACCACCAGAGTTTGTGTTTGGCTTCATCGAACCTGCTATCGGAGCAGCACAACTTCATGGGCGGTTTCTGAAGCACCATCTGCCAAGTCAGCGCTCCACATTGCCGCACATAGTTCTGCAGGGAGGGGTCAGGGAAGTGAGAGACGACCGGGGATGAGTAGTCCACGGCTTCTTTCGTCAACTAGTCATGGATGAAAAAGATAAAAAAATATTCTGTACAGATTTGTACAATATAAATTGGCATTGTTATATAACTAAGCTATCAGATGGCGTCTGTGGCTTAGGCGTTGCAGATGGGCTTCACAATGCCTTGGTGCGGGGTACAATCACAGCTGCTGGCAATTTGGCAGCAGACCACCTTGCGCTGGTTTGACAATGGTGTCGAGAGCCATAGACTCCAGCAGTAGCAAACTACTGTACATAAATTGGCTCAGAAAAACCGCAACAGTGTAGATTGGTAAATATAAAATTATGTCTAACATAATGAGCCTGATGCGCCTCTTGGATTTAAATTAAAAACAAACCTTTACTTTTGTTAATAATCTTGACAAAATTAAATTTCTTTTTTTTGGGTAATTATTTACACAGTAACTGAATTTCTTTGGTCCAGTAATTATTCACAGAGTAACTGAATTGCTTTGGTCCAGTAATTATTCACAGAGTAACTGAATTTCTTTGGTCCAGTAATTATTCACACAGTAACTGAATTGCTTTGGTCCAGTAATTATTCACACAGTAACTGAACTGCTTTGGTCCAGTAATTATTCACACAGTAGCTGAATTGCTTTGGTCCAGTAATTATTCACAGAGTAACTGAATTGCTTTGGTCCAGTAATTATTCACAGAGTAACTGAATTTCTTTGGTCCAGTAATTATTTACACAGTAACTGAATTGCTTTGGTCCAGTAATTATTCACACAGTAGCTGAATTGCTTTGGTCCAGTAATTATTCACACAGTAACTGAATTGCTTTGGTCCAGTAATTATTCACACAGTAACTGAATTGCTTTGGTCCAGTAATTATTCACACAGTAACTGAATAGCTATGGTCCAGTAATTATTCACACAGTAACTGAATTGCTTTGGTCCAGTAATTATTCACACAGTAACTGAATTGCTTTGGTCCAGTAATTATTCACACAGTAGCTGAATTGCTTTGGTCCAGTAATTATTCACACAGTAGCTGAATTGCTTTGGTCCAGTAATTATTCACACAGTAACTGAATTGCTTTGGTCCAGTAATTATTCACACAGTAACTGAATTGCTTTGGTCCAGTAATTATTCACACAGTAACTGAATTGCTTTGGTCCAGTAATTATTCACACAGTAACTGAATTGCTTTGGTCCAGTAATTATTCACACAGTAACTGAATTGCTTTGGTCCAGTAATTATTCACACAGTAACTGAATTGCTTTGGTCCAGTAATTATTCACACAGTAACTGAATTGCTTTGGTCCAGTAATTATTCACACAGTAACTGAATTGCTTTGGTCCAGTAATTATTCACACAGTAACTGAATTGCTTTGGTCCAGTAATTATTCACACAGTAACTGAATTGCTTTGGTCCAGTAATTATTCACACAGTAACTGAATTGCTTTGGTCCAGTAATTATTCACACAGTAACTGAATTGCTTTGGTCCAGTAATTATTCACACAGTAACTGAATTGCTTTGGTCCAGTAATTATTCACACAGTAACTGAATTGCTTTGGTCCAGTAATTATTCACACAGTTACTGAATTGCTTTGGTCCAGTAATTATTCACACAGTAACTGAATTGCTTTGGTCCAGTAATTATTCACACAGTAGCTGAATTGCTTTGGTCCAGTAATTATTCACACAGTAGCTGAATTGCTTTGGTCCAGTAATTATTCACACAGTAACTGAATTGCTTTGGTCCAGTAATTATTCACACAGTAACTGAATTGCTTTGGTCCAGTAATTATTCACACAGTAACTGAATTGCTTTGGTCCAGTAATTATTCACACAGTAACTGAATTGCTTTGGTCCAGTAATTATTCACACAGTAACTGAATTGCTTTGGTCCAGTAATTATTCACACAGTAACTGAATTGCTTTGGTCCAGTAATTATTCACACAGTAACTGAATTGCTTTGGTCCAGTAATTATTCACACAGTAACTGAATTGCTTTGGTCCAGTAATTATTCACACAGTAACTGAATTGCTTTGGTCCAGTAATTATTCACACAGTAACTGAATTGCTTTGGTCCAGTAATTATTCACACAGTAACTGAATTGCTTTGGTCCAGTAATTATTCACACAGTAACTAAATAGCTATGGTCCAGTAATTATTCACACAGTAACTGAATTGCTTTGGTCCAGTAATTAGTCACACAGTAACTGAATTGCTTTGGTCCAGTAATTATTCACACAGTAGCTGAATTGCTTTGGTCCAGTAATTATTCACACAGTAACTGAATTGCTTTGGTCCAGTAATTATTCACACAGTAACTGAATTGCTTTGGTCCAGTAATTATTCACACAGTAACTGAATTGCTTTGGTCCAGTAATTATTCACACAGTAACTGAATTGCTTTGGTCCAGTAATTATTCACACAGTAACTGAATTGCTTTGGTCCAGTAATTATTCACACAGTAACTGAATTGCTTTGGTCCAGTAATTATTCACACAGTAACTGAATTGCTTTGGTCCAGTAATTATTCACACAGTAACTGAATTGCTTTGGTCCAGTAATTATTCACACAGTAACTGAATTGCTTTGGTCCAGTAATTATTCACACAGTAACTGAATTGACTTGTATGTTAAAAAATCAAAAAGTAAGGACCCTTTTCCACGCCTTCAGGCGTATTGGGCACATAGGGCTAGACCGATATTCTAAAGACCAATCAGCACTCAGTGGGTGATGTGGTCAACATCACACCGACCGCCTTTACTTCCCATGACTCTGCCTGGTACTAATTTAAGACTGGGTCTCTACCTGGGAGCCAAGGTAATTTTTGAAAACAAGTTCGGCTCTATCAGGATGAACTGACTTGGCCTAGGAATTTTTGACATTACTGAATTTACGCAGTAACTAAGTTTCACAAAAGTCGAAGAATGAAACCATAGATGAAAATAAAAAGGTATCGTTTTTAAAATACTGACCTCGGCCAGGACCTGGGTGTTAATGTTGTCAAAGGAAGCACGAAGTTTTTGGCATACAAAATCTGACACTTCATCAGAAAGCTGGACACTGGAGGTCACATGCCCACCTGCCAGTAAGGATACCTGTTTGTGGAGATATTTTAGTATGGTTAATCAATGAAATTTCATGCCTTGGTATTCCAAGAACACATTCAGGAAGCAGAGAATGTTACTATAACCACCATACATGTCACAAGAGACGATAAAGGAAGGGTGTCTTTGTGCTTGTAGTATTATCCTGTAAAAGAATTTATCTGCAAAATACACCTGCATAAGAATTTATCTGCAAATTACAATCTGCAAAGAACCAGTATCAAAATTATTGGTGTGAATGAACGAGTCAAGAAATAAGATCTCTTCACTTGGGACATTCTCAGACCTGCTCTGTCTCCTTCCTCAGTAGCCATGAAGCTTCGGCATACTAATAATACCTGTTGCAATCTGTTCGCCGATGTCTCCCCTCATTGTTGAGTATGTTACAGAACCACTACTATTTTGAAGCCAGCTTGTATGTTTTGCTATGTCTTTCTTATGTCAATGTCTGCTTAATGCCACTACACGTCACAGTTTATAAAGCGACCGGCAGCTGAGCTAGCACGTGCTCGATTGATGGTATGCTGTGATATTGTGAAATCTTAGTGTCTCTTTCAGCCCTTCTTTTTTTTAGGGAGGTTGGGGGGGGGGGGGGGTCTGCATCTGATTCTCAGTGTTTCCAGTGTGGGCGTTTGCTATATGTACTTGTTTCCTGTTGTCTTTTTGGACCAGGATTGTAATATGTACGCACACCCATGAAGGCGACAGTGTGCTCTCACTCACACACACACACACGCACGCATGCACTTTACAGTTTCTTCTCCTTCTTCTTCAGCATTCCAAGCCCTTGAGGTTTATTGCTGCAGATATCCCCCGCCTCCATTCATCTCTCTGGTTGGCCTTCTCTTTCCAGTTTGTTTAACAAAAATAACGTGTAATGATTTTGCAGTCATATAATTTGTGGTATATTTGTAGTTGTAACAAAACAAAACGAGATAAACTCGTTATACAACATTGAGTTGATACTCACGGCAGACACAGGGTTGGCTAAGATGTGGGCGATGATCGTCTCCACGCTCTGGATAACGTGAGTACTGGCTTGAAAGGATTTCTGTGAGAGGTATAAGTTCATCGTGAGCTCAGTAACATACAAGGCCATGGTTTGCAAAACTATCTTTACTCTAGTTGTACTACTGGTAATGTCAGTGTCCATCGATTAGACCTTACAGAACGTGAACAAGAAGTAGCAGAACAAGAAGAAGAAGAGAAGAAGAAGAAGAAGAAAAAGAAAAAAAAAAAACAAATAAAAAGCGAACGAACAAACTTTATTTTCAAAGGGTCGCAAATTTGGATCGCAGACCCTTCTTACATTCAGACCTTCCATAACAACCATATTTCACACAGCAGTTGTTTTTCATACACACATATTGGCACACACAGACACATACACAGACGCACACACACAAACACACACACAAACTTACACAATTACCCATACACATACTCACACATACACAGTTTCATAGTGGCGCGGTGATATTTGTCACAGGCGTGAGGGGAAGTTAAGTCCAACATGATGTGTATAAGGAGATACCCCGTACGTCATTTGGCCGCCAGTCCTTAACTATCCTGGTTGTACGTAACCTCACGCAAGACCCCTACAGCACGTCCTCGTCGTGCGCCACGGATAATGTCTCAAATGAGCATTAACAGAGCTGTCAGGGGATCTCGGAGTCCGGCGGCCCCCAGAGGTGATGTGTCCTTGTGGCTCTCATCAGCCCGCCCCCAAGCGCTTGGGTGAAAAATGTTATCAAAACTCATTAGGAACATGAGTAGGTTTGCCAAACGTACAGACAAAATTACAACCCTTGGTTAAAAGACTGCGGAGTAAAGAAAACATTGTTCACTGCACATCCTCTGTTAACCCTCAGTGTCGTCGTCACCGCGCTGAGGTGCACCACAACAGCAACCATCCATAGGCTGGCCATCCTTGTACATCCTCGGTTAACCCCCAGTGTCGTCGTCACCGCGCTGAGGTGCACCACAACAGCAACCATCCATCGGACGGCTAAGCCTAATTGTCCGACAAAACTAGATCATACGGATCAAAATCTGACCATCAAAATTTGTATCGAACTGAAAAAGACCGAATGTCCACACCCAAAGACCCCACTCGCCCGAGTGTTGGGACAAAACGGATAACGATATGCCTGATGCAGGATGTAAAATCCTGTCGGGCTAACGGCTAGTCAAAGAAATCTAACGTGCGAAGAAAAAAGAATGTACCTATCTGTGTGGTCACAAAAGTCCAAAACCCACGGGCTGCTCCCCGCTGACTTCCAGAGGGCGCAGCCCCTGTCGAGCGGGAGGCCTGATACGGTTGTGAGGTTGAGCAGGCATGTGCAGGACGTGACGATTCCTTGGGTGAGCCCAGAACCAGAGCGCCATGTGCCGGCTCTGCATGCATGGAAGCCTCCTTGGATGGCGGGGAATGCCCATGATCTGCCCCTGCCTTCCCTTGAGGGCTAACTGTTCCACAGGGGGCTGCCCCAAAGGGGTACTCCGAGGGCAATACCTGCGGAGAAGGAGACAAAGTGGACACCACACAAATCAGGCAACGTCTCGACCCACACAAAACAATGGCCACAATCAACCTAGAAATAGGCCTGACGTCTTCCTTCGAAGTCGGAGTACAGCTGCCCATGAGGCAGGGAAATGAAAAACGGTTGTACACGCAAAAATCAGGTCCAGGTGAAAGCCAAAAGTCCAAGCGGACGATTAACTGGGACCTTCCACTGGAATTCACAGCCGGTGATCGATAAATAAAAAAAAAACAGTTTCATACACACAAAAACATGCATTTACATCACACATTTACATGTCACACATAGACGCATACAGTCATATCATACATACCTTATTAAATTATAAATTGGTAATAAATATGGAGATACAGAAGAAGAAGAAGAAGAAGAAGAAGAAGAAGAAGAAGAAGAAGAAGAAGAAGAAGAAGAAGAAGAAGAAGAAGAAGAAGAAGAAGAAGAAGAAGAAGAAGAAGAAGAAGAAGAAGAAGAAGATGAAGAAGAAGAAGAAAAACGAGGAAAAAAAGAAAAAGAAGCAGAAGACGAAGACGAAGAAGAAGAAGAAGAAGCAGAAGAAGAAGAAGAAGAAAATATATGTGTTACAGCCGTTGCTCTACCAAGACGCCTGTGACTGGGACTTACCAGAAGTAGGTCACACAAGAACTTGGTAATACTCTCCTCATCGTCTGAATACTCTTCTAATCTTTCTTTGGCGTCCATCCACTCCTGCAATTAGAAAATAGAAAAGAAAAAAGAAAAAAACAACATTTTTTTGTTAGGAAATTAAAGTACCGGGACAAATGCAACTGAAATACAATTTAACTTGGTTGCAGTGACAAGAAGAAATTAGGTTGAAGAATGGACAAATAAAATAAAAAAAAATTCGTAAACAGAACATAAAAATCTTATTTCAATCGTAAAAGTGACAGATTTTACCTCCTTTTAAAACTGAACTTGTCTTCAAAGTGGACCCAGCCTAAAACGGACACTAGATAAGGTCATGGGAAGTAAAAGTGGCTGGTGTGATTCTGACTACATCACTCATCAAATGCCTACAAGTCTTTAATAATACAGGTCTAGCTCCAAACCCGATATGCCAGAAGTATGAAATGATATTATTTGACTTGAGTAAAAGTGAAAACTTATGTGTATCAGAAACATCTTCATGTTTATCGACACAAGCATTTAAAATCTACCTCACATAGACACACAGCGGCGTGTGCGTAACAATGTTTTGTGGGGAACAACCGTTTATGGGGAACAACCGTTTATGGGGAACAATGATGTGTGCAGATAAGCGGTGAATGCTTCTGCATTCGCCCTGAAAAGGGCTGTTGAGATATCGTGTTGTGGATGACAGATAGGTGACGATATCTGCGCCTTTCGGTGCGAAACATCTTATATATATAAAAAAAAGATAGTTACGTGTCTATTACCAACCCCAGCATGGATACCTAATATTAGCAAGCCTCTAGTTGATCTTCATTTACAACATGTCTGTTAGTCAGTAGGCATCCCCCACAATAAAATGGCACCCTGGAACCAACATGGGAGTACAAGGATCCCTACCTGGGACTCCAGTGTGGTGTAGGCGACAGCGATGTTGCTGGGGCGGCATCTTTCACTGATGTTTTCTGTCAGCCGGTTGTCAGTCCGGGCCCTGGGTTTGGGGCTACTGATGCTGGGTTTAGGCGACTTTGTCGGGGCCTGTGTGTGTGTGGTCCTGAAAGATAAACATAATGTTGGGTTTCAACAAGTGATGTGTTGGTGTGAGGAAAACCGATGGGTTTGGCTATAGGGATAGTGATTTTTGTGTTGTGTGAGTGTGAATGTGTGTGGGCAGGGGGGGAGGGGGGGGCTGAAATATAAAGATTCATTAGGGTTTCTTTTGGTTTAAGCTACTGCAAACAAAAGAGAAGACCCTCGTGTGGGTTCAGGGGCCCCATTGTGAGGAAATCAAGAATAGACCCACTGCCTCCTTAAAAGCATGTCGTAAGAGTTGACTAATTGGGGAGCTTCCTTTGAAGTCGGAGTGCATCTGCCGGAGAGGCAAGGAACCAACAGTCTGTATTCAAGAGAATGAGATCTGTAAAACTGATGCACACGCAACACTCAGGTTCTGGAGCAGGACTGCAGTTCAGTAGTGGACGAGCAACCAGAACTTTTTACCAGAGTGCACAACTGGTGAACGCGAAGAAGAAGAAGAAGAAGAAGAAGAAAAGAGAAGAAAAAGAAGTTTAAGAAGAAGAGGAAAAGACGAAGAGTAATAAGAAAAAAGAAAAAGAAGATGCAAGGAGGAGGGAGGGAGAAAGAAACAAAGAAAAAATGGAAAAAGAACGACGTAAAGAAGGAGAAAGGGAAAAAGGAAGAAAGCAAAGTAGAAGGAGAAGAAGAAGAAGAAGAAGAAGAAGATGAAGAAGAAGAAGAAGAAGAAGAAGAAGAAGATGAAGAAAAAATCAAGAAGAAGAAGAAAAAGGAGAAGAAGAAAAAAGAAAAGGAAAAGAAGAGGAGGAGGAGTAGGAAGAGGACTAAAACAAGAAGACGGAAGAGGAGACCAAGATTGGGATGGAGGAGGAGGAAGAGGAGAAATAAATGGCTTTAACAGTGAGGACTTACAACAGTAACCTAACATCTTACTTGTGCTTGATAGCCTCGTTCTCAGCTTTCAAGGTCTTTAGTCCAGACTCGAGTTTTTTGGTGTCTTCCCTGGCTTTCATCGCTGACTTCTGGGCCGCCTCCAGGGCGACCTTCAATCTTTTATACTCATCCTGCAGGCTGGTGTTCACAGCCTGATGCTCCTTCAAGTTCTTCTGGAGTTTCTCAACCTGTGTCTTCAGAGCATCGTTTTCGTGTTTCAGGCGCTGAAGATCGGAGGCTGATGTGTCTACGTGACTTGGCTTTAAACACAGAAAATAATTAATCAAGAATGTTAACCTAAATTCTAGATCAGAAAGAAAAATACAAATGCAAACCTAGACATGAATAAAATACTAGATATTTCACCCCGGCCTAAACAATCGCCACTTTACTTTTTACTTTAATTTACATTCTTGTTCTTCTTCTGTTTTTGTTGGCTTGAAATAGATTATCTATATCTGCATTGTTGTCTCTAGTATGAACATCAATGCCTTTAGTAATTCACTCAGCGACCCGTAAAGTTTGGCTTGCACCGATGTTTCTCTTGGCCAAAACTTGTGCCTTTATGTGTTGTATTTGGGAGAGTCTTGGATGACATGATCTGTTTACGCAGGTGCCAATCAAAATGTGCACATGGCTGATTTGCCAATTAAAAATGGTGTGTAATTTACATTATGAACTTTGCGCTAGTGGCATGTGTAGTCGCATTAGCCATTCAGTGACATTTTCACATTCTAGTTGACGATCTTAACTAGGGCTTTTTTGGTGGTAGGTCTTATTTGTGGGGAAACACACTGACGACATTACAACATTTGACTGATAACACAACTTAACATAAACATTACAAGATTTGACTGATAACACAACATGAAATAAACATTACAACATTTGACTGATAACACAACATATCATAAACATTACAACATTTGGCTGATAACACAACATGACATAAATATTACAACATTTGGCTGATAACACAACATAACATAAACATTACAACATTTGACTGATAACACAACATGACATAAACTTTACAACATTTGGCTGATAACACAACATAACATAAACATTACAACATTCGGCTGATAACACAACATAACACAAACATTACAACATTTGGCTGATAACACAACATGACATAAACATTACAACGTTTGAAACATTTGACTGATAAGAGCACTTTGTGCACACTTACCAGGGCATGTGTTTTTGGAGACTTGGGGGACTTTGGTGAGCCGGCCTTGTCGTCGGATGATCTTCCTCTATGGCGCTTTAGATCGTCGTTCTCCCGCTTGAGTTCATCCAGCTTGACCCACAACTGACCCATGCCCGCGCCTCCCCGAGAGATCCGAGGGGGTGGTGTAGCAGGGGACGGCCGTGACGGAGCTTCGGCCAGAAGTCCATCGATGAGTTGCTATGGACATATAAATAGTGATGATACGTTTGAATCAAACGTTTTTGTTCTAAACAATATTTGCGTGTGTTCTTTGGGGTAAAGGGGGAGGAGGGGGGGGGGGGCTATCCACTGCTCCCTAGCACATGTCGTAAATGGTAACTAATTAGGAATGTGCTGAAATCGTATGTGGGCCAAATGGTGCGAATATCGCAGTCTAGTGGTAAACCACAATAAAATGTGCCAGACACCCTTTAAGGGTAAAGAAGATTAGGAAAGCCACCAAACCCCTGAAAGATGAGAAAGCTGCTAGTCCAGATGATATCCCAGCGGAAGCTTTTCAAGCCAACATAAACAGCTCGGCTTGTTAATGTACCCAAAATGCATCTTCTATCACTGTACAATAAGTCACCTAAATAAATGTTAAGTGTTCTGTGTTTTTATAAATGTTTAATTATATAATGGCCACAAGGTGGAATCTCTTTTTAAGCGTAGTTTTATTTGTAAATGTTTTTTTTTTTTTAGGTTTGTGTTGCACAGCTTACAACATGTACCAAGCACATGTCCTATTGACCAGACAGAGATGTGTGAGTGTGATTTTTATCGGAGATACGTCGTTTAAGTGATTTTGAGTATTTTGGTTCGTATTTGTGGAGCATGGTTTACTCAGATGAACGAACAAACTACTTTTAACTAATATGGGTGCCCTTGTATGGACACCAGAAGGGAAAAGAAAACTGGGAAGACCAAGAGAGACTCTGCGTAGAACCATCATCAGGGTCGATTCACCCATGGGTTTTATGAACATTCAAGACATAAAACAGGTGGCAACGAAACGCCAGACATGGAGAGCTAGAACATCTGACCTCTGCCCTAGGCTCAAGAGGAAAGACTAACATTTATTTAAGGTGCTGATGAAGACTCGCTAGCCGTAGCGTTTAACTGTCGTTTGTGTTTATAATGCTGTGATGCTGACTGTTTCTACTTCTCGTTTGGTTTAATATCTTCCTTGGAACTAAAGGCGGCCGGCATGGTTTTGGCAACATCACCTGCAGAATCTCCAATGGTCTTTAAACACATTTTATGTGGCCAACATGATACAGCTAATAAGCTTAATGGGGTGAAACAAGATGCAGTTTTTGCCCTTCATTTCTGACATTAAGCAGTGGCAGCGTTGTAGTTTGTTTGATCATGTAAGTAAACCACGTTCATGGAAATTGTGGTAACTTTGGCTTCTGTGCCATCCATGTGGGTCTCGGGGATGCTGACTGGGTCTTTGCTGTCACTGGGTGTCATTGCTTGATGGTCCTGATAAGGACTGGCACGTTTAGGCAGCTCGCTTGCCTTCCAGTCTGCAATAAGATTTTTTAAAGTCTTGGGCGAAGTGTCGTGCACACCAGCCACCTTACTAACAACCCTCACCAAGTACAAAAGTACCGCTTCAAGCCACTCCTTTTGGAGCAATTAACACTTCTAGGCTGACACAAAAACACCAGACCACACTTATAACTGATACTGCTCGCAGTAGGTTGAACGTGGTCGATTTTTTATGTAGCTATCATAATGGAAAGATAAAGGGATTCACTTGTATGTTCTCTTATGAGCACCTCGTGAAATCTGTAGTGGTTAGACTCTTGCCTGCCATCCTAAAGTCTGGGGATCAAATCCAGGTCAAGAATGATTTCTTTTACAAATTTATTTTATTTAGCCTAAAATGAGTGCCAGGTATTGTCCTGGGAAGTGAAGGCGACCGGCGTGTTGATGACAACATCCCCCTTATTGGTCTACAAGAGTCCTGGTCTACAAGAGTACTGGTCTACAAGAGCACTGGTCTACAAGAGTACTGGTCTACAAGAGTACTGGTCTACAAGAGCACTGGTCTACAAGAGTACTGGTCTACTAGAGTCCTGGTCTACAAGAGCACTGGTCTACAAGAGTCCTGGTCTACTAGAGTACTGGTCTACAAGAGCACTGGTCTACAAGAGTCCTGGTCTACTAGAGTACTGGTCTACAAGAGTCCTGGTCTACAAGAGTACTGGTCTACAAGAGCACTGGTCTACAAGAGTACTGGTCTACAAGAGTACTGGTCTACAAGAGTACTGGTCTACAAGAGTACTGGTCTACAAGAGCACTGGTCTACAAGAGTCCTGGTCTACAAGAGTCCTGGTCTACAAGAGTCCTGGTCTACAAGAGTACTGGTCTACAAGAGTCCTGGTCTACAAGAGTACTGGTCTACAAGAGTCCTGGTCTACAAGAGTCCTGGTCTACAAGAGTACTGGTCTACAAGAGTCCTGGTCTACAAGAGTCCTGGTCTACAAGAGTACTGGTCTACAAGAGTACTGGTCTACAAGAGTACTGGTCTACAAGAGTACTGGTCTACAAGAGTCCTGGTCTACAAGAGTACTGGTCTACAAGAGTCCTGGTCTACAAGAGTACTGGTCTACAAGAGTACTGGTCTACAAGAGTACTGGTCTACAAGAGTCCTGGTCTACAAGAGTCCTGGTCTACAAGAGTACTGGTCTACAAGAGTACTGGTCTACAAGAGTCCTGGTCTACAAGAGCACTGGTCTACAAGAGTCCTGGTCTACTAGAGTACTGGTCTACAAGAGCACTGGTCTACAAGAGTACTGGTCTACAAGAGTACT